GTTTAATTTTCAAAATTTTTGACTTTTTTTGAGTCATTTATAGACCACTGAAATTTTCGACTTTTTTGAGAATTTTTTTTTGAAGTGTCGGTAAAAAAATGTTGGACGACCAAAAWAACTTGAAAATTTAATACAAGGTTCCTTATGAGTTGTTCTTATTGTAGCTAAAAAAAATTAAAAATCGTAAGTCACGATTTTTTTTAATAAGCGTTTATAGTTCAAAATGTCCCAACTAATTTTTTCGCGCTACAGAGCTTGTATAATAGTATCCTTGCGCGTATGACTACCGGTCCTACCAAGCCTAATAGATCAAAATATTATATAGACGATATATCTGATAACATTTTTCGTTTTGTTATTGTATTTCGTCCATAATTTGGTACTGGTGGAACCTTGAACCTTAATGTGTCTAAATTTGAGTCCCAGAATAGTCCTAAGATTTTTTTAACAGCACCCTCGGTTTCAAAATAATTTGATAATTAAATGTCTTCCTCAGGTACTATAGATTTAATTAAATCAATATCATTCGACGACCATTTTCGCAACTTCATACCAGCAGCGCCTAATATTGCAATAAGTTGTATTAAAAGTTCTTTGGTCTCCTCCTTCGATTCCAAACCTCCCAAAAAGTCATCCATATACAAATCGCGTACAAAAACTGAGTGGCTGCCTCGCGATACTGGTCCTGGTACAATTCAGCCAAACGTTTAAAACATGCGGTAGCTAAATACGAAGCCGATACTGTACCGTACGTCACTGTATTTAAACGATATATCTGTATAGATGTATCTGGATTTGCACGCCATAATATGCGCTGCCCACGCTGCACTTCTGATACCCAAATCTGCCTATGCATTTTCTCTACGTCGGCGGATAACACGTACTTGTGTGTTCGGAAACGCGCTAAAATGTATATGATATCATCCATTCATCCTGTATGACAGGACCTTTTAATAACATATCATTCAGACTAATACCTGTTTGCGTTTTGTTTGATGCATCGAACACAACCTGTAATTTTGTCGAAGTGCTATCTTCTTACCGCGTGGTGTGGTAGGTAGCACGTTTCGCCTTCGATCTCACTGTCCTCATCTTTTACCTGTTCCATATGACCCAGCTCTTCTTATTCTTTCATGAAACRGATATACTTTAATTTCAATTGAAGGTTATTTTTGCATTTTGTTTCTATAGATAATAATTGACGTTTCGCAATTTTGTATGATTTTCCCAAGGATTTTCCTAATACTTTTGAGCTCTCAGTATTATTGATCGTGTGATGTGAGTAATACTGATGTATACTGTCAGTATGAAAAAACGTTACTGATGACTGATGAAAAATTCGGATATCGAGTTGTTAATATTTGTTTACTGATGATTATATTGATAGTGATAGGTCGATATTGACACTTCGTCAGTATTGACATCGCAGCAATGGATGACGGAAGTGAAATCACAAGCCGCGAATGCCGCGATCGATCCATTTTGCGTGATTTTATTTCAGAGTACAAACAATTACCCGAATTGCGGGATGTTCGTTGTAAAGAGTACTCCAATAGAGATAAAAAAAATTCTGTCTATAAAAAACTGTTAGACGTTAGTTTATTATAAACATTTGAAAAATGACTCTACAATTGAAGATGTTAAAAAAAATTAATACATTAAGAAGCAACTTTCGGAAAGAATTAAAAAAAAWTAAGGACTCGAAAAGAAGTGGTGCTGGGACAGACGTCTATCAACCATCATCTTGGTTATTTGAAGAGTTATTATTCTTAACGGATTTGGAAAAACCAACTAAAAGCGTATGTTCCATTGATGATAAAGTTGAAAATAGAGACGAAGAGATAACGGTAGGATAATTTATCATTAAATATTTTCTCATATTATGTTATACTTATTTATTTTATATCTTATTTTACGTTAATCAGTGGTGGCTCGTGTGCTCTGAAAGTGGAAGGGCGATATAAAATTGCTTATTTATGGAAAGTATCGAACACAAATAATAATAATAATAATAATAATAATTTATTTTAATCTGTGTAATAGTTTAATACATATAAATTATTAATTATTATATATATTTTAAATTGTCAACACATTTTTATAGATGGAATTGATTAGAGTTACGATCGCACAAAGTAAATAATAAATACGCAAGTTCGGAATCCGTGTATAACGGCCAACGCCGTTTGTGGCGGTACGTTAAGACACTCCAATTAACAACTAACATGCGAGTATTTTTGCAACAAGATGAAACTTCAAATGTGTTTTCGAAACAGTTGTTAGACATTGGAAATAATAAAGTCGCAGTGTCCACCTCGACCGGATTAATCACATTACCCACAGATTTCTGTCACATTACAGACTCCAAAGAAGAGCTTATTCAACAAGTTTTCCCAGATATAGCGCATCAGTTCAATAACCTTAATTGGCTGGGTGAACGAGCAATATTGGCGGCAAAAAATTAAAATTTCGATGCTCTCAATGCAACCATTCAGCATTTTTTTAGCGGGACAGTTGGTTTCCTACAAATCAGTCGACACCATGATGAACCAAAATGACGTAGTCAACTATCCCACGGAGTTTTTAAATTCACTAGAATTGCTTGGATTACCACCTCACAATTTGCAGTTAAAAGTAGGATCAGTTGTCATCATGCTGCGTAACATTAATCAACCTCGACTGTGCAATGGAACAAGACTGGCTGTGAAAAAGCTAGTGAATAACGTCATTGAGGCAACAATCATAAAGGGAAAATACAAATGAGAAGATGTCTTGATCCCGCGTATACCGATGACTCCAACAGATTTACCATTCGATTTTAAATGTCTACAATTTCCCGTACTGGCCTTTGCGATAACCATAAATAAATCGCAAGACCAGTCATTGGAAGTTTGCGGAATCAACTTAGAGTTTCCCTGTTTCTCGCATGGACAATYMTACGTYGCGTGTTCGYGYGTCGGAAAACCGTCATCTTTGTTTATTTACGCACCACAAAACAAAACAAAAAATAATAGTTTATCAGAATTAAAGCTTTAAATTGATTAACAGACTGTATCATAACTGTGTGTGTCTATTAATATC